TGGTTTATTCAAAGAGTCACAGGCAAGAATTCACACTTCCAGTCCAGAGATCTTCCAACCCCCAGGCTGCCAAAGCAGCCCGGAAACCCAAAAGACCCCGACCCAAGCATTGCTATACAATATTAATCCTTTCTGGGCTGTCGAACCGTGACGTCACCCGATAAGCAAGCCTTGCAGCTGCTATAACGTTTAGCCAAAACATGAGGAAAAGTCAAGGTGCGTGACTGTTGTTTTCGTGGTGTGTATCTAAAACAATTGGACATAACCTTACACATTAAGACAAATATTAAGACTAGCATTACAGTTGACACTAACAGCTCTTTTCCTGTAACCTTGACCTGCCTGCAGTCTGCACTGCAAGTACATTACTGAAGAGTTAACAGCCTGAGCTAGTCAATCTGTCTCCACTAACATTTCTAGACAACCGATCTCTGAATATCTAACTAGGAAATAACCTAACAGTACAAGCATTTCAGAGAAAACAGCAAACACAACATGGATCGCTTAAAAACAAATCAAGAATCTTAAAAAACAATTCGAGAATACCCAACAAACATTTAAGAGTCAGGAACAGATATCGCGCTCACTCAAATCACAGACAGGTCAGTCTGTGGTCAGAGGGGGAGGGGCGGAAGTGTACGTATTCCTAGCATTAGCATACGGTATGGTCCAGAGTTGAATTGTTCTTTGTGTAGGAGGGTGGCAGAGAGGGGGAGGGAGGCATGGCATGGTCAAGATCCCCGAGATAAGGACTCGGGCCTGCGGGTGCCGTGTCCGCCGAGACACTGGGCACGCAGCCGCAGAGACGGCCCGGGGATACTACGGACCACAGATCCTGGAGTCCCCGGTGAAGCGCGTGCAGGACCTCTCCTCTTGTACACCCGCTGCAGCTCTACCAGCGCAGCCAGATTGTCCATCTTGTCCCCCAGCGCCTCACTCCAGCTCTTCTCCCAGCGCTTTGCTCCAGTTCTGCAGACTCGCCCTTCTCATTGCATCCCCGTGGGAATCCCTGGAAACTCACAACAAGGAAGCCGACTGTTGGCAAGCAGAGCAAACAGTCGGGGCCGTGACACAAGGGTCCCCCCCGAGGCAGACTCAAAAGCTTGTAAAAAAAAAAAAAAAAGAACAAAACACGATGCAAAAGCCAAAAAA